TCTGGGGAAAGATTTAGGAGGCAACTAAAGTCTTTCAGTGCAGGGCTCTGAAACAAGGCAGGAAATCATAAAAGGGCTGAGTGCACTTTACCATGCTCAAACCAAATCCTGAGACTCCAAAGGCCATCAAAAGACATCAAAAAGACATCAAAAGCACAAAAAGCATCGCGATGCAGCTGAAACACATACATGCATTTGAGTTATCCCAGTAAAACATGCTTATTAGTGATGTTTGGGTGACCAGCTTATACCTACTGATTTAGTGCTAGAAGTAGGAAAAAGAGTTACAGATGAGACAAGAACTCATGGTTTCTCATGAGTAAATAACTCTCAATACTCATAAGGTATTGAAAAGGTGTGGAGATGTAGCACTTAAAAGCATGGGTTAGTGGTGAACACGGCAGTGCTGGGACTTAATGATCTTAAAGGTCTTTTCCAGCCTAAATGAATCTATGAATCTATGATTTCTGAATAATCCCATTAGATTATCCTATTAAATATGAATTTTTCCATTAAAACATGGGTGAAATGCTGGTAATGTATGGCATTTGCTTATTATTGAGGTTTGGTTGACCAGTTTATGGCTACTGATTTAGTGCTAGAAGTGGGAGAAAAGGTTAAAGATGAGACAGGAGCTCATGATTTTGAATGCATTATGAAGACAACATGTAAGTGATGAAGGGATGGGTTGTGAAAGGGGGTCTTCTGCTGGGCTTGACCTCTCCTTTTGTCCTTTGTGGCTGAAGCAGCACAGGAATAGGTTTTGTCTGCCTGAAGAAGATGAAGGAGGGCCCCAAAGGAAGGATCTTCTCCTCCCAAACCACTCTGCATGTCAGCCATACAAACGGCCCTCACCATGCTGTTCCAGGGCACCACTGATGAAGCTTTTTTGGGGTGGCAGGCATACCTTCTTGATATCTGTCATTGTAACCTCTCCTCTCGCTGAGTGCTTTGCAAGGGATCTCCAAAATCCAAGCATCCAGTAGTCGTCTATGGCTTTTGGGATCCATGTTTGGCTAAATCCAGCAATGAACAGAGCCCTCCTTCAAAATACCTCAGGGCATTTGTCACTCCCTAGTCGCTATCCCTAGAGCCTGGAGGTATTTAAAAGATGTGGAGATGTTGCACTTAAAAACACGGTTTAGTGGTGAACTTGGCAGTGCTGGGATAACAGTTGGACTCGATGATCTTAAAGGTCTTTTCCAACCTAAATGAATCTATGAATCCATGATTTCTGGCCAGTGCTGTGAGCAAAGCTGGGCAGAACAGATGGAGCCTACATCCATACTGGAACAAGTTGTGCCATATGGGGGACTACCATTTGCAATGCTTTGCTTCCTCAAGCCTGCCCAGATAATATACAATAATAGTTTGAGCAAAAGATCTCAGACAACAGCACTTTCACATCACTTGTGGTTTCTGGGGGCAATTTTTACATTTAACCCTGCTAAAGGCCACTTCGTCACTCTGCTTCATAACAGCAGTATATCATTGTCCTCATCATACAGCTGACTGCATCTGGGTGCCTCCAAAAGCTCATGGGCTCCCTCCTCTCCCAGGCTTGGGCAGGATGCAAGCTCCCATAGCTGAGATCTCAGTGCTGAGGTGATGCTAACCAACACAGACCTCTCTTTGCTGTCACCCTTCGGGGGGGGGGGGACTGAATTCAGCATCCCAGAAATGGTGCCTGGGTGGTCCCAGTTCACAAGCATCCCTGGGAAACATTGCCAGTGTTTCCCCTCCCTTCCCCAATCCCGCCTTGCTGTCAGCATTCCCTGCTTCCTTGAAAATGCGGTGGCCATGGAAAAAGCTAGGGAGAAAACAGTTCCCAAGGGATTCATTTGGTCCATATGTAGGACTCAATCCGAAAACATGAGTGGCAGCTGAAGGCTTTTTGCCCCCTTGTGAAAACAGGGTGGTTTGACGGTGCTAAATTGAGCTGGGATTGAGGAGAAGCATTTGAAAGACTATCAGTACACTTCACATCATCACCTCAGTGCTTGGCTTCATCCCAGTGACCATTTCACTTTGTTGTTTGCTGGATTACTGCACAAACCAGCATGTCCTGGGTGCTTTCTGTAGCCTCTTATGAACAGAGACCAGACAGTCCAGGACCAGTATTTAACCAGGCTCCACGTGTGCATGTGTGTTGCCATGGAGGAGCAACCTCATTGTCAGGAGCTGTATCAGGGGATTTTTTCGGTCTCATTCTGTTTTGCACAGGAGAGTCTGTCCCTGCTCTCTTCATCTCCTATGGGTTGTTGGACTTTCATGCAGGGGTGGGATTGGGAAAGGAAAACTCAGTCCCCTGAGGAATTAGGGTGAATGGTATGAGGAATACCACTGAAGAACCCCCTCCTACCATGTAAGAAAGAGAAGCAAATGTATCAGTGTTATGTCCTGCACATGACAACACAGCTGTGGATATAGGGTGTGAGTTTTACCTTTACTTCGGTTTCTTCTGAACTAACCCACACTGCTGGCTCATGCAAGAAGAACTCAGACAAGATGAAAAGTCTTTTCAGCAGCTGATTGAGATGCACGTCTCTCTCTTCATCAATCCCAATGTGTTTTCTGTTAGGAATCTGTTATCCGGACAGTTTACAGCTCTCAAATTGTCAGGACTTTGTGGAGCATTTGATAGGGTCAGTTCTCCCCCGGGGAACTGAAACCACTCACCCCAGTCCTATGGCATAGCTGTTTTCTGACTTGCTTCACCAGCTTATACAGTTACTGCTTTTTCTACCCCAAAACCCAAATCTTCAAGGCCAGGTTGGACACAAGGGCTTGGAGCAACCTGCTCTAGTGGAAGGTGTCCCTGCCTGTGGCAGGGGGTTGGAACTGGATGAGCTTTAAGGTCCCCTCTAATCCAAACCGTGCTATGATTCTACCCCTGGGCTCCAGATTTACCTCTCCAAGGCCATTCACCCAGAGGAGCCTTGGCTAACTCCCAAAACTGATGGAAGAGTTACCAATGTATGCTTGTGAGCATTAAGGAAGGCACATGGCAGCTATGGAGGCACTGCTGTGGCTGCACACATCCAGCTGTGCCTGGGGTAGGTCTGACCATCTCCTCCTGGTCCTGGTCATGTCCTGGGGGAGCAAAGCAGCGCAACAGGCTCTTCTGACAAGCCATTAATAAGGCTGAAGCTGGATTTGGGTTGAAAAAATGTCACTCCCTGTGGTGAAATCAGTTTGGTTAAAGAGGGGAAGTTCAGGTCCAACCCAAACCATTCTATATGTTTCTATGGTGCAAACTGGAGCACAATTAATGATTCACCAAGTGGCAGAAACCAAGACACAAACAAGCATCCCCTGGGGGACAAAAAGAAAAGAGGGAAAATTCTGTTTGCTGCGTTGCATGACATCTGTCAAACTCACCTTCTTAAATGGTATTTTTGGCTCTGCTGTTACCAAAAGCCCAGCCTGAGATGTCATTGACTTTTAAGCGAATAAGAGCTTCTAATGGATGTGATATATTTTACTCTATGCAACTGTGCTTGGTTTAAAATAAACATGTGACGTTCAAGCTCTGAAACCTATCAGGCAATTAATGCATCTGATACACACATGTATGTTCTTGATTTGGCATGTTAAAATGTTTTTCTCTGAAGCTGGTTTAGATGGAATGACATGATTTATTTTTGAATGGCTCTAGACACCACAGACTTGCCTTTTCCCCCCCCCCGGAGTCAATTATCCTTCACCATCTCTTCTTCCCCCCTCCCTCCCTGCTTCAAACATCACACCCTGCCAATTCCTGAGCAGATCTCTCTTACAAAGACCTGGTTTGCCTCTTGCTTTGCAAGAGTTGGGTTGATAATCCCAACAAGGAGCATGGCGGCTCCCAAGCTGCCTTTGCCAGGAACCTGCCCTTCCATAAATCTCGCTCCATCACCTCAGTGTCGCAGCCCAGATTCTAACCAGCACTGTTGTTAATCCATCAGGGAAAGGGTGTGAGAACAAAAGGTCTCTTGGATACTTCAGGCCCGTGCTTCCAGCTCCACCACAATTGTTCTTTAAAGGAATTTGTAATTTTATGGTTTGGTGTTGTTTTTTTTTTCCGGAATGATTTGTTTTCAAGCATGTTGTTTGTGACTTCGAAATGAAAACCCAGATTCAACATGTGTATGACCAAGGGTCTGATGGGGCTCTGCAAGGTGATGGAGGGTGGTTACTGAGCACTGGTAAAGTCCACCCCAGTGTTTGCTCACAGGGTGAGCAGAAGTAAGGTAAGTAGGAAGGAGGAACAGAACAGCATCTCTGGGTGACCGTTTCAATAGTGCAGCTGGCTTTTCATAGAATCAGAATGGTTTGTATTGGAAGGGACCTTAAAGCTCATCCAGCTCCAACCCCTACCACAGGCAGGGACACCTTCCACTAGAGCAGGTTGCTCCAAGCCCCTGTGTCCAACCTGGCCTTGAACACTGCCAGGGATGGGGCAGCCACAGCTTCTCTGGGCACCCTGTGCCAGCGCCTCAGCACCCTCACAGGGAAGAGCTTCTGCCTAAGAGCTCATCTCAGTCTCCCCTGTTCTGGCAGGTTAAAGCCATTCCCCTTGTCCAAAGCCCCTCTCCAGGTTTCCTGCAGCCCCTTTAGGCACTGGAGCTGCTCTGAGGTCTCCCCTTGGGGAGCCTTCTCTTCTCCAGGCTGAACCAGCCCAGCTCTCTCAGCCTGGCTCCAGAGCAGAGCTGCTCCAGCCCTGGCAGCATCTCCATAGCCTCCTATGGACTTGCTCCCACAGCTCCACGTCCCTTTAAGGGCAAAATCTCCTCTAAAAGTGACCCTCCTTATCCAGGGTGCAAGCAAACAACCAGCTACTCCTGGTACACACAGGCAGACATCAGCCTGGCCAAGTGACACTCACACCTTTTGCCCTCCATCACCTGAGAAGCAGCTTGTAGCCAAATCAGTGCAGGTCAGAACATGGTGAGGTGCAAGGAAGCAGTTCAGCTCCTGCTCAGAGTGGTGCAGTCAAGAATGTAAATCTCATACCCTCAGTAGCTGCATGACATCTTTATTTTTATTGGCAAGAGAAGCAGTATACACAGCAACATTGCAGTCTCTTAGCTCGTTAAAAATATCTCAATAAATAAAACAAATAAGCAACATATACACTGAAACGAAAAGGGGATGAGGGGGGTGAGCGGTAGCAAATCATGGAGCAATAAGGAAGAGGCAGTAGAGCTGGAGGGCAGTCTGTAATCCAGGCTGTACTTGAAACAAATCATGCAGGGAGCTGGGGACACAGTGGGGTTTCTTCTTCTCTTTTTCTTTTTTTGTTGTTTTTTTCTTACGAGAGCCTTGGTCCAGTTTTGCCATTAAGTACAAGAAATCAGGCATTGGATTTAAACAAACAGACAGCAAACAAACCCAGAAAAGAATGCAGGTCCAGGGGAGTAAAATCTGAACCCAACCATTTCTCATAAATGTATTCCTGAATTAAGGCTTTTCAGAAGAACAAAGAGCTAAAACCAAACACACAGACAGACAGACACAACGATGGACACCCAGGAATATCATTTCTCTTTTCTCTTTGGCCAGTCGCTTTAGGGAGAGATGTTGCAAAGTTTCAGACCATCAGCTTTGGTGCTGTTTTCTGCTCAGTCTAAGTGCTCCGCAAGAGTTCAGAGCGAGGGAGGTCAAGAGGGGTCTTTTGGACCAGTTTACTTGAGGTTGTTAAGGTTTCAGAAGCTACAAACTTGGATACATCCCAATTCCACTTCAGTCTGAGACATTGGACAGTCTGGAGAGAAGAGACAAAAAAAAGGAAGAAAACAGAAATAAATACACAGAATACAGGACATCTTTCCGAGGTATGTTGTCTGGTAAAGTTGTTTTCCCTACAGATTATGCCTGTGGCTCATGATCACCAGTAACCACGTGTTGAAACCTACCCCTGGTCCCAGCAGCATGGAAGCAAACAGCTAATCCAGCATCTGAGTGAGATCCAAGGCACCAGGAGCAGCCCCACACTGCCTTGAGCAAGGGAAGAGGGGAGATTGGATGCTTGGGTGTCTGAGCTGGGCGTTAGGAGCTCCACCTCCAGTGACTCCAGCCCAACATCAGGCAAGCTCTGTGGGAAACGAATCCGTTTTCTTTCCATCCCTGGGTAACACATTTATGCAATATCTAAGCACATCCAAACATCCAAACCCACCACTACCCACAGGAAAATCAACCTAAACTTTGCAGTTCATTTTGGCTTTTGGATGTACAACCTAAGTAAAGAGGTTGAAATGATAAATCCATAGGCAGGAGCAAAGCATTCATCATGGATGCCATCTGCTGCTAGCAGCATCTGGAACCCCAAGGAATGCTGTGCTAAACTCCAGTTCTCCGTGTGATTCCCAGTGACTCAACCATATCGTCTCTCTCCTCCCCCATGTATTGGGATGTGACAAGATGCAGCAGCATGTTGGCAGCCCTGCTACCTGCAGGGTTTGCTCTGCTCTGCAGCAACCTGCTGCTGCTCGGTTGTGGGCTGGTGGGACAAACTCTGTGACGCAGCAGTGCCCATGGGAGACCCCGTCTAACTTGGGGGAGGGATGGCTTTGAGGGCGAGATGCTGTTTCTGCCTTCAGAAAGCCACCTCAGCTCATATATCAAAAAGCAGATATAATTATTTCCTCCCACTAAGGAAAGCTCCCATTTAGCTTATTTCCTTTCCTTTCCTTCTCAAAGTTATTAATTATCTAATTACAACCACATTCTGCAGACGAGCTAAGGACTTGACAGGCTGCCCAGGACCACTTAGGAAAGCTTAACTACTTGGTGTGTGTGAGCAGCAGTGGTTTATGTATGTGTACATCTGACAGATGACAGGTTGGTCCTTTCCTAATGCTGGTGCTGGGGAGCGACTCAGGAAAGGAAAACAAAATACAGGGGGGAAGGAAGATACCATGGAGAGATTTTCTGATGGCCTTCTTTTAACATTGTTTTCTCCAGCAAGCAGAAGAAGGGATGGAGGATGCTTGCTGCCAGCCACACGAGGTATCACCATACCCTTGCTCTTCACTGAACCTGGCTGCCATGTAAAACAAGGTGAAAACAGGTAGGAGGCAATACTGAGCTGATCTGTTTGCACTGGTGTTTTAAATCCCACTCAGGACTGGAGAGGTCAGCACAAAGCCGCTCTTGGAGCAGAGCTGGTGATTTGCAAGCTGATGGGTTTAACCCCGGCTGAGACACCCTGCTCTGGCTTCTGCTGCAGTGCAGGATCCCGTTCCCACTGGTTCTTTCTGGTTTCCAACAGCTTTTTTGGCTCTGTCTGACTGGAAAAACCGGGAATTTCACAGCAGCTCAATGCTGATGTCTTCCCTGTTACTGCGAGGTGAGTCAGTCTAAGTCTACCCTGCGCACGGCACTGCGGCTGTGCCCCACAGCTCTTGTGTGGCTCTGCCAGGTCCCTTGCATGCTCCCAGGGCTTAACCCATCCTTTCTCATCCCACACAGGTCACCAGAATGAGGTGTTGTTGTGGATAGATGTGGCTGCTGCTCAGCCGCTGCTTGGCCAGTGCCTGGTTACCAGAGAATAGCTTGGGTTGGAAAGGACCTTCAAAAGTCATCTAGTCCTACACCCAGGTTATCAGCCTTGGCAGGATAATCTGGTAGGTTATTTCCACTGCACATTAAAGCAGCCTGTCTGAGCTGATTGAACCTTATTATGACCAGATACAGGGGTCACCAAAGGAAGCTGCTCTACCTGGCCATGAAGGGATTATTCTTCACATCTTGACATCAACTTGTGTTTCAGTTCATAGCCTGTAACATTTTGCTGGTTGTTCTTACCATGTATTCTGTATACAATCCACATCAAAGAGTAAAACCCACTCATTCACAAAACCAATCTATAAGCACAAGGAAAGCGCACGAGATGAGAACCCCTGCTGTGTGACCTGCTCCTTCCATTTCTTCTGTGGACTTTTGGGATGTTGGGTGCTGACTGCTTTTGAAAACCTGGCTCTAAGTACCAGTTTTGAAAACACGTAAACGGTAACAGAAGGACGGGGGTATCTGCTTGTGGCACCAAGGACACTTTGGTGGTGGGATGTGTGGCAACATGTCCACTGAAGGCAGAGAAATGATATGTGATGTCTGCTCCCAGCCTGTTCTTCTTCAGCTATCCCCTCCTTCCATGTCACTCAGCTAGAGGAGTACTGTGCTAAAAACCTGCTAGCATCCCACATGGAGCTTAGTAAGGTTGGGGGACTTCAGTGGCTTCTCAGTTTGCTTACGAGTGCTACGGGTATTGGAGAAATCATACTCTGAATCTGGCTTGTAATCCTCATGTCAGAAACCTGGTCCTTGCTTGTGGTGGTTTGAGTCTTGCAGGGGGAAGGAATATCAGCTCCTGGCTGAGAAAGAGGGATAATATCCCCCAAAACCTCCTCCCCTACCCAGTGCTGGCACACCACTGCAGCCAGACTGCCTCCTCCTGCCCCTTGTTTCTGGAGACCCCATCTTGAACTGCTCCAGTAAACCCAGTGCCTTGTGCCTGAGCGCCCAGAAGGGCTGGTTTCATCCCCCAGCTCATCACGCACCAAAAGGGGAAGCACAGCCCTGCTTTCCTTCAGGAGCTGTAAAATGAGGCAACAGGGCCCTTCAGGCTCCTTTCCCCCCTTAAATCATAGAGAGCTTTTCCATAATGATGTTGTGTCTTTAATGGACCCTCCCAAGATCGTGCTTTATGTTTATGATCCTTTAATCCCAGAGGGGCTCAGCAAGGAGCTCATCAAAGCCTGTCAAAGCACTCTGCTGGCAGCTGCTCCTGTGGAGCTTCTCTGCTCTGCTCCCATGACTGGGACCCATGGAAGCTTCCTAATGCGCTCCTGCAGGAATGGCTGCAGGTTTCCTATGGCAGCAGAATGATGAGATACAGACTTAAGGGAAGCAGGAAAGCACATAGCAGGCTTCACAGGGAATGCCTTCCTGGCACTAAGCAGCACAACACAGAGCTTAGTTTTAATCACGTACAGGCTTGCTGTGTAACTGTTCTCTTTGCATGTGCCTCAGTTTCCCTGATTGGGAAATGGCAGTACATCCCTTCCTCTCTTACAGTGCATGTAGGATTTAATCAGCTGGTGCCTATAAGGCACCTTGCGATTCCCCAAGTTATAGCTGAAAGGCATAACACTGCATTATAAGAAAACATGATTGTAGGATCGGGACTGGGAGCTGGTAGACAGTGAAACTCTCTGCTGAACACAGTTCTCAAGCATTCCTCTTACCCTGTAGCTTGGAACACAGAATGTAGTTCTTATGCATTACTTTAGTGCAGACCCAGTGCAGTTTCCTTTGCACAGTGAATTGAGGGCTTGCTGCTCTATTTTCTTTCTCTGCCTTTGGAGCATTCCCCAGCCCAAGAACACAGCATGGAAACCGTGAGAGCTGACAGCTGCTGGTTTGATGGAAGGTGCAGCAATAATACAGCTGGGGATTTTGGAACAGGACCCTGAGGCCTTTGCTCATATAGGACTAGGGTGGTTTTGGTTCCAAAGGGATTGAAATAACTTCCATAGCATAATTCAGAGTGCAAATGCAATAGGAAACGCAGTTGAACGGCTTGAGTTTGTTTGTTTGGTGGTGGTGTTCTGTTGTTTGTTTCTTTTAAAGAGTGCTTTTTCAACTTATTTTACTGCAAGAAAATGGTTCTTCCACCAGGTCCCAGCCTCTCTCTGCCCACATGGGTTCTGTCCATCCAAAATTCCTACCAGGAAAGTGCTGGCCCAACTTCTTGCCTTGTGTTTGGGGCTGCAAATGGGGTCAGGTAGCGAGTAGTCGACAAGAGGTGTGAGCAGTGCAACACACACCAGCTGCTCACCCTGCACCAGCTGGGACTGATTTCAGCAGTCACCGAGAAGTTTATAGACTGCTTCCTCCCCCCTTCAACCTGGGGAAGTAAAAACCAGCACAGGTCAAAGCCAAGACCCTGGCCTTGCTCGGTTGGGTCAGTGCAGGGCACGCTGCCTAAGGCTGATGCCGATGCTGATGCTGATGCTGATGCCTTCCAGCATCAGTGCAGTGAACGCAGTTTCTGACTGAGCTTCATTGCTGAAAGGAGTCTGAATTGGCACAAATCTGTTATAAGTGACACCAATGGGCATGTTCTTCACCCACCCCGTGTGTGGCTGCCTCGGTGGTCCCAGCCAGCTTCCCCTCCATCCTGTGTTGCACAGCTCTGCTGCCTTTGGCACCATCCCTGCCACAGTGTTTTGCCTGCTTTGAAGTCTCCCACCCCAGACTGTGCTTGTTTAAGGCATCCCCACAACATTCATTTTAATGGGATGTTAACTTGCAGGCTGTGGACGTTTGGACTGGGGAGCAGCACCTGCTGCAAGGCAGGCTGGTGTTAGGAGGCAGGATGGTAGCAGAGCAGGCAGCATTGATGGGCATGGGTGACAAGAAAGCTCTGGCATCTTCCTCCCTGGGAAACAAATATGCACTGAGGAAGCTAATGTTAAAGCAGCCCATGGAAAAGCACCGAGCAAACTCAGCTGGAGATCCCCATCACCACCATCCCAAAACTTGTCCTTTCCAAATGAGAATACCAAAAAGGATAAATATAGTGATACATACATCAAAAGCCTATTCAAGGTTATCATGGGTCCTTACCCATACTGGCTTTGTTGTGCTAGGTGCTGCACCATAAAGCTGGTTACAGGCATGTTACAGGGTGAATGGGGAAGGAGAAGCCCCCTGTTGAGCTGGATCTGATTGGAAGTAGGGTAGAGCAAATAACAGTCT